CTCTAAAACCTATAGAAAGTGTGCGGGTGTGAACCGCCCAGCCAGTATTTCCTTACATAAGTGTGAAATACCCACCCCACCCTGTAGGAAAAGACATACATTATACATATGTTTGAACAGGTGCCACCTACCCCACATTCAAAGAATCCATTACTTGAATATTTTGTATTAACCACACCGTTAAATACTGTAAATTTGAGGATTACATAGATCTAGATGCAAAAGTGTGTGGATTGAACGCATTCGGAGCTCTGTTCTTACAAAGTGGTCAAGTGGGTGTAATACACCCAGCTGGTGGGGAAAGTGTTAAATATTTCCTTTTTTTTAGTGTATAAAAGGTGTTACACACTGGTCTACGCCTATTATACAACAACACTTCGGGTTTTTCTCGATTATCTCAACAGTAAAAAAACAAAGACTTATATGCAGGGGCGGCTGGTGGTTTGTAGAACTGACTGGCTATAATTCCCATCGGAAGTGCCATGTTCACCCACAACCTCACAAGCACCCCCCCCCCCCCTCGCCTCAGAACTTCACCCCTACAACAGACAGACAGACAGACAGACATACAGACAGACGGACGGACTGACAGACAGACAGACGGATGGACAGACAGACATTCAATTTTATACCTACCAGTACACTTGAGGTTTTTTGTGCGTGTGTGGGGGGTGGGGGATGGATGGGTGGGTGAGAGAGAGAGAGAGAGAGAGAGAGAGAGAGAGAGAGAGAGAGAGAGAGAGAGAGAGAGAGAGAGAGAGAGAGAGAGTGAGAGAGAGATAGAGAGAAAGACAGAGAGAGGGGGGGATAACATATGAAAGGGTGTACGACTTGTAGTAGAAGAAAATCCATGGCGTTACAAACTTCAAAATGTAAATCTGAGCTTCAAAACATTGATTGAACTTGAGGTCAATAAAATATGGATAGAACTGACTTGATCGGCACAGAACAAGAAATACTTCTACGGTATACTAGAAAACAAACTGAAAGTTAGAAACAACCACTTCTTAGCCCTGCCCCCTGTACATCACCCAAAGACCTACGTTTTACACACCCACACGCAGTCTCGACGTGCACTCGCTATGTAAAAATATAAAATCTGTATGCTGTCAATTGATACCTTTCCAATGACGTTGTCCCACGCAGATGAAGTCTAGAATCAGATACTGTACACTGTACTAGACTCACAACCACGTACACATTGAACAAATTTAGCCCACAATTTCCGATCCGATTCAACGGTTCTTCTCTTCTTTGCTCTTCTCTGCTCTCAGATCACTGCTTTAGGAGAACTGTGTCAGTTGCTAATTTTAGAAATTAGAGTCTAGCTGGGGTGAAGGTGGAAAGGGGGAAAGGGAAAAGGGGTGGGGGAGGAGGGGGGTATATTGTTTTAGACCCAGACCCTGACAGCCGAACGAGGCACTTCCCTCTCCTCGTTAAACATTCCCTCTATAACATTACTGGGCGGAACGATGGATCGGCGGTCTATGGTCCTGGCCAAGTAAGGTAACTCTGGGAAGTAGGTGACGAAGAGAACACAAAACAGAACCATAGGTGGCTTAAAACGCAATAGAAATAATTATGCTAACAATTGATGTACAAGCAGTAATAAGAGACAGGTTGAATGATGAAGTTAACTGATGAAATTATATAAAATAATATGTATTAGTACTGCAGACGTGTCCTTCCTTTGTAAGTAACAGAGAGGCCAATTGTCAATTAGAAGCCGTCTTTTTAGCTCTCTGGGCAAAATCTGAATTCGCCCGAAGGCTGACGTCACTGCCTCGCGGGCGCTGTTCGGAAAGGCTTCGCGCCTCGCGGCCTCGCGCAGATAACTTTCACATTGTGACAGGAGCGATTTAACATACGAGCCGGCGTGATAAACAAAAGATGAAGGAACACGTCTTTGTCATGTAGTGCGACAACACACCAAAGAACCACTATTGTTTCTCAGAGCGCCTTCAAATCGGCCGAGTGCTTTCTGAACGTTGATTAGGTATTGATGTGTATTAACTTGAAACTAAGTAACAATTATCGTCAGCAATCAATCTCTTGTCCACTGTACAGCCCACAAAACTGACCAGCGCCGCCGGTCTTGCCCAGTGAACGAACCGCGCCTGATTATATGACAGTACATTGGCAGCATAATGACGATACATTTACCAGCTTAATACTCTGGTTGTGACTTCTTGTTTCACCTTTGCAGAGCAAACAAATATTAAGTCCAGTTTATAATACCTAACAGCACCACATTCTTTGTTTGAAAACGGTTCAGTCGCTACGACGGACATTGGTGCGTTTCGTGTTTTCTTTCCGCACAACTTAAAAGCCCGCAACACTCCTAGTTAAACTCGCCAGATTCACAGGAACAGGCTGACCTGCTGGTAGAATGGAAGGTGTGTATGGGACTGCTTCGGACCGTGCAGGCCACAATGTCAGTTTGACTGGCTTTACTTCGACATTAGATATATGTTAAAGATTTTTTGGGGGCTTGCAACAGGAAGGCGGTGTCCTTTTCATTTATTATTTCAGCCGGGAAGAAACTTTTAACTGGTTACAAACACAAATATCACTCTGATTATAAAAATAATTATATCTTTTAACTCAGCGTGTCAAAATTAACAAAGCCGACGCGTACAATGCTGGATTTATAAAATTATCCAGGGGGCGGTGACAGAGCGGTTAGTGCGCTCGTCTCCGAAGAGGAAAGTCCGGGTTCAAGCCTCGTTTTGGAGACGAATGTTTTTCGCCCCCTCCTGCCCACCCAGCAGTAATGGGTACCTGACTTCGAATGGGGGAAGTAAAGGCGGCGTGGAAAGGAACTGGCCACCTTACCACAATATGCCGAGGGCCCAGGAAGTTGTCTCACTAACAAGGCAATCCTCAATGTCCGGATCGGATGCGGGAACAACTTTCCTTTACATGTGCAAAATGATATTTTTCCTTATTTGTTGTATTTGATAAGTTCAAGTGTGCTCCGCCATGATAACAAGGGAATGTTTTGCTGTCTATTTTCGTGGTGTGTATACACGCCGTGTTCCTGTCTGACGGGTTTACTCGACAGTTCAATTGGAAAACTCTTAACTAACTGCAGCTGTGTAGTGGCCTGAGGCGTTGTAAATGGTTGTCGTGATAAGTTTTCCAGTTCGGGCGAGATCCTCTAGACTGTAGAACAAAGATATACACAATCTTAGTCTAGACTGTAGGACAAAGGTATACACGATCTTTGTCTAGACTACAGGTCAACTGCAGTTTTCCTAGAAGAGTGTACACGCTATCAGGGTACTAGGCCAAAGTTTGTTGGAACGCATGCTTCTGCTGCCGCGCCATATTATATAACGACAGGTCTGTTATCTTCCAAAATAGATATACCATCTACCCCGCACGCAAAGAGAAGTGTAGTGTTCTAAGTTATCACAATCGTAGGTTGCTTGTGGTGTCCCCCCCGCCCCCAAAAGCTTCTCTCCTTCTTTCTCTTTCGTTTTATAATATCTAGTTTGTATTTGTACGTGTGTATATTTGTGTATGCGTATGCATGTGTGTTTGTGTGTGTGTGTGCGTGCGTTCGTGCGTGCGTGCGTGCGTGCGCGTGTGTGTGTTATACCCACTTATATACCCACTCTTATATATAT